GGGGGGGGGAAAAGGGGGATGGGGGGGAGGGGGACAGCGCTGCGCACGGGGAAAAGGGGGCTGGAGGGGGAATGGGGGAGGGGGGATTGGGAGAGCGTGGGGGGGAGGAGGAGAGCAGAGGGCCTGGAGTGGGCAGGGGGTGCTGGGAGGGTAAATGGGGACGTATTGAGTGCACAGACTGGGGCACCTAGGGTAATATTGAGGGGCAGGTTGGGGGGGAATGCTATGAGGAAACATATGGAGGGCATACGGGAGGGGGGGCTATATTGAGGGACTAGAGGGAGGGCTGTAATGGGGGGCAATGGGGGGACACTGGGGGTTGGGGGGCTATATGGGGAATACTGAAGAATACAGAGGGGAAGGTCATATGGGGGAATATTGGGGGGCTGTGCTATGGGTTACATAGGGGGCGTATGGGGGGCATGAGCGTGGGAGGGCATGTAGGGAGATGGGGGTTATATTGGGAGGTGGCATGGGTGGGCACACTGGGGAGCAATGGGGGTACGTTTGTGTGTATCGGTGGGGAACATATTGAGGGAGGTTGAGAGGGAGCCGTGTAGAGGGGAGTGGGGGAATGGGGGTACACTGGGGTGGTGGGGGGGGCTATTAAGGGGTGTTATATGGGTGAGCCCTATGAGGGAGGCAGATGGGGTTATGGGATATTGGGGTATACTGCAGGGAGTACTGTGTTGTGGAGGTGAATGGGCAGGCAGATAGATGGGGTGGTATGGGGGGCATGTCGGAGGATACAGGGAGTTCATATTTGCGGAGTCTGTATTGGGGGATATAGGGAGAGACGTAGGAGGGTCATGGAGGAGTATGGGGTGGCATGCTGGGTGAGCACATTGAGAGGGCACCCTGGGGATACGGTTGGGGGGCTTGGAGAGGGCACCAGGTTGTGGGGGGCTGACTGGGGGGGGCAGCTCACAACCCCCGTTGCCCCCAGACCCCATTGGCAGTGCCGAGGATGGGGGCTTTCGGCGGTGCTATGGCTGCCTTGAATGAGACCCTGTGGCAGCTGGGCCACACTGCCTGGGCCAGCCTGGAGGGCTGCCTGGGAGCTGAGCCGCTGCGCCTGCTGGCCGAGGTGAGCAGAGGGAGTCGGAGGTGGGGGGGAGGTGTGGTGGTGAGCATGGCATGGCCCCACGAGGCCCTTTCTCTTTGCAGAGCCTGCTGGCTGCACTCTGGCTCACCGCCTCGGCCATCTCATCGGGCCTGGCCGTGCTGAGCAGAGCACTGGGGGATCTGCTGGACGCCTGCGGCTTGCACGGTGAGCACGGTGCAATGTGAGCTCGCCCGGGTGCAGCCCCAGCTGCTTGGTCTCAAATACTCTCCCGTGTTTTGAAGCACAGGGGCCTGGCTGGCGGGCAGCGTGGCGCTGAGCCCCGGCGCGGTGCAGCGGGTCTTGCTGTGGGGGCTGTTAGCTGTGATGTGGGTCCACCTCCTGCCATGGCTGCTGGGCCGGGTCGTGGCACTGCTGCGGCCTGTGCTGCGCTGGCTGCGGCTCTGTGTCTTCCTGGGAGCCTTCCTGCACGTGGCGGCGGCAGAGGGCAGCGGCCTCGTGGTTCGGGCGGCCATGCTGCTGGGGCTCTGGGGGCTCTACGTGCTGCTGGGAGGTGGCAGGGCCCCCTCGCCCAGCCCTGCTGCACACCTGGAGGCTGCTGTGCGCAGCCTGGAGTGGAAGGTGGAGGAGCTGCGGAGGAGGCAGCAGCGCTATGGGCCAGCACGGGGCCGTGCAGAGGAGTGAGGGGTGTGGGGGGCCCTGTGTGTGTGTGTGTGTGTGTGTGTGTGTATGGGCCCCCCCAGTGCCCCGCATCAGTGCCTTCACTAACACCACACCCAAGCCCTGAACCCGCTCACACCAAAGTGCCTGGGGAGTCCCACACCGGGTAACCCCCCCAGCCATAGGATGAGGGCTACGTGCTTGGATTGCTGTTGTGGAATTGGCCACATTGGTTTGCTGCTGTGTTTATTTGGCCACCAAATAAAGTTTGCTGTCCACACTGTGCCTGCAGGGAAGGCGCTCAGTTCCGGGGGGGCACAGAGGACACTCGGGGTGGGGGCAGGACATGCTGTCCCTGTGAGTGCCGTCTCCGTCGCCTGTCTGCTGAGGCTGAGGTTATCAGTGCCGATGCCTGGCTCTGTCCCTGGTGCCCTCTGGCTTTGCGGCACCCCTGTCCTTCAGTATTCCCCCAGTGCCCCCAGCGCCCTTGGCTCCCACACTGTGTCCCCATCACTTCCAGTCCCTTCCAGTGTCCCCACTGTTGCTGTGGCCCCCAGCCCTCCCAGTCCCTTCAATCTCCCCACTTTTGGCTTAGCATCCACAATGTCCCACTCCCTTCCCTGTACCTCTAGTGCCCCCAGTCCCTTCAGTTACCCTCCAAGTCCGTCCAGTGATCCCAGTGCCCCAGTGCCCCAAGTCCTTCACCCACCCCCACCCTTCCCTGTGCCCCCCATTCCTCCCATCCCTCCCAGTCCTGCTCAGAATCCCCAGTCCCACAAGTGTCCCTCATCCCTCCCAGTCCCACCAGCAATTCCTGTGTTCTCCCCAGCATACTGCATTCCTACCAACACGCGCACCCTTCCCCATTCCCCCGGTGTCTCCCATCCTTCCCAATCCCTCCAGCTCCGCCAGTGTCCCCCACTCTTCCCCGTGCCCTTATTACCCCTCGTCCCTCCCAGTCCCTCAGTGCCCCAGTGTCCCCAATCCCTTCAGCTCTCCCTAGTGTCTCCAGTCCTCACATGGAGTCCAGTCCTCATGCCTCCCAAACCCTCCAGCTCTCCCAGTGCCCCCCATGCCCCTTATCTCCCCAGGTCTCCCAGTGCGCCCAGTCCTTCCCATTTCCCCCAGCACCCGCAATATCCCTCGTCCTTCCCAGTCCGCCCAGCACACCCCGGTGTTCCCCATCTCCCCAGTGTCTCCCAATCTCTCCCGGTGCCCGGCTCGGGACGAGACTGTCGCTCCGCGTCCGTTCCCTCGGGGTCCCGCAGTGCCCGGCGCGGGGTGTTTAGGACCCGCCGGGGTGAGGCGGCGCCGGTGCCGGTCCCGCCCCGGCCCCATTGTCTGCGCGCGGAGGCGGAGGGACGGCGGCGGAGGCTCCGCTCGCACGGACGCTCCGCGGAGCCCGCACGGCCCCGGCTCCGGAACCGGTCCGGCCATGGCCCTGGCCGAGGGGCCGTACCTGTTGCTGCTGGCCGCCGCCCTGCTCGGGGCTTCAGGTGAGCACCGCGGGCACCGAATTCCCCCCGGGCCGGAAACTGCTCCGCACGGCTACCCGGGGAGAGCCGGGAGGTGGACGTGGAATGAGCTGGGACCTGCCCATGTGCTCCTCGGGGTTTACCGGGATCTGCCCTGGGTGGCCGCGGAACCGCGGAGTGGTTGGGTTGGAAATGGTCCTTGAAGATCACAGACCCACGGAATGGTTGGGTTGGAAAGGGTCCTTGAAGATCACGGAACCATGGAATGCTTGGGTTGGAAGGGACCTTAGGAATCATCCAGTCCCCACGATCCATTTGGAATCTGCCCCGTGTGCTCCGTGGATCTGGTGGGGATCTGTCCCACACAAGCCCTGTATCCCCAGGTGCACAGTGCCTGGCTCCCACCCCCAGCACTCACTCAGCAGTGCTCCCCCCAGCAGACTCCTTCCTGGGCAGCTTGGGGGTTGGACTCCCCAGGAGCAGAGCGCCCACGGCCCACGGGAAAGCCATTCCCTCGTGTCGGTGCCCATCCTCGCCTTGGTGACAGTGGTCTCCATCTCCGCAGCCAGCAGCGAGTGGTCCCCCCCGGAGCCCGTGTTCCTGCCTGTGGAGATGGAGCTGCAGGCAGTGCCCGAGCACTACCGCCTGCAGCGTGCGGATGGAGCCCTGCCTGCTAACACCTCTCTGCACACCCGTTCCGACACCTTCCTGCTGCTGCCCCGCCACCCCACTGCTGGCCCCCCGCCTCTTCTGCGAGCCTCCTACCCGCCCTTCAGCACCCACCAGGTAATGCCAACCACCGCAAAGCCGTGCTGACCCCCACGGGGCCACCACTCCGCCATCCCCATCTCTTCCAGGAGGTGCCCACCAAGAGTCACACCTGGGCCGTCCGTGCCGTGCCCCTGCACAGCACTGTGAGTCCAGATGAACCCACCGCCCGCGTCCTCTTCCACCTGCACGGCCCTGACTGGCGTGGACGGCGGGACCCCCCTGGGGAGCACTCGCTGCCCTGCATTGTCCTGCAGGCCCAGCAGCGCAGCCGGACGCTGCAAGGCTCCTGCCGTGTGCAGGTGGGTCACAGCCCACAGCCTCACAGCCCCAAGGTGCTGTCGCCGTAGCGCTGCTGGCCCCACTCTGCCCCCAGCCCTAAGGCTGCTGTCCCCCCCCCAGGCCCCACTGGGCATCTGCTTGGTGGAACTGGAGATCCCAGCACGCTGGTTCTCCCTGGTGTCGTCCCCGGAGTCAGTCGAACTGTGGTATGGCGTGGCTGGGCCGGGAACCTGCAGCCATCCCAGTGCCACAGTGGAGCCCCTGCGGTACGTGGGGATGCTGGAGCTGCAGACAGTGCCGGCAGTGGCACGGCGGCAAGAGGTGCCGTTGGATGAGAGGGTGCTGCTGCGCGTCCCCAACAGAGCCTTGCGGCCTGGGCAGCGCTTCACCGCCAGCCTGGCGCTGCGGCACAACTTCACCGCCATGTTGCTGACCCTGCGGTGAGAGCACGTGGTGAGGAGGGGGGTTGTGACGGGGGCACAGTGTGACGGCCCTTCCTCCTTACGTAGAGTCAAGGCCAAGAAGGGGCTGCAGGTGGTGGCCGCCCGGTCTGCGGACCCTGCGTGGGCTGTCCACTTGGAACGCAGCCGTGGCCCCAAGCACTGGTCGGCTGTGGTGACGTGTCGGCGCAGCAGGGACATCCAGAGGAGCACCAGGTATGGGCAGGGACATGGGAGAGATCTTCAGCGTGGCACCTGGTGGGGTCCACTTGGGCACGGGGACCTGTGTGTGGCACTGCATCCATTTCAGTACGGCCCCAGTTGAGCATGGGATGTGTGTGTGGCACCTCTCCCATCCTACCGTGGTCCAGTTGGTCACAAGGACCTGTGCGTGACACTGCCTCCATCCCAGGATGGATACAGAGATCTGTGCATGGCACTGCATCCATGCCACCGTGGCCCAATTGGTATTAGGGCCCAGTATGGCCCACTTGGGCAAGGGAACCTGTGCATGTTGCACTGTCCCTGTCCCAGCAAATTCTAATGGGATGGCTGGTGGTGTGGGAGAGCCCTATTTCAGCAATAGATCCCAAATGGGGATGCAGGATGGTCCCATCCCAGTAGGCCCTAGTTTGGGATGTGGGGCGGCCCTGAAGCAGTGGGTCTCTGTTGGTGGACATCCCCATTCTGTTGGGTCCCCGTCCCAGTGGGTGCCATCCGGAGCTCTGTTCTCACAGGGCACTGGAGGCGGCTGAGCTCCTCCATCTGGAGCTGGCGGTGGAGAATGGCACAGGGGCTCAGGCACTGGCACGACCCCTCACGTGGCAGGTAGAATACCCAGGCCAGGACCCTGAGGCGCAGAAGGACAAGCTGGTGTGGGAGGTGCAGGTGTCGGAGCGTGACATGCGCGTCCTCGTCCCCCTGGTGCAGGTGGGTGCCCCCATCCCGCATCCCACCCCACCTTCCCATGGTGCTCAGCCCCACTGTGTCCACAGGAGCTGGAGCTTCTCAATACGTCCCCGCTGACCGGTGTCCCCCGTACCGTGCCGGTGACATTGGTGACGGTGGAGGTGGGTGGTGCCGTGTCTGAGCTCAGTGAGCCGCCAAGCTGTGAGTCAGCAGATACACAGGTGCTGCAGGTGAGCATGGTCCCAGCCCCCCCAGCAGCACTCCCTGGGCACCCTCTGCCCCTCCGTGTGCCCCAACAGGTGTCGGAGGGCTGTGACGCGGTGTTCGTGGGGGGCAAGGAGAGCCGTGGTGCCCGTGGGGTGCGGGTGGACTTTTGGGCACACCGCCTGCATGCCTCGCTGCTCTTCACCGTCTGGGCACCTCTGCTGCCATTGCGTGTCCAGCTGGGAGACACTGCCCTGGAGCAGGTGCGTGGCTGGCGCCTGCCTGGGAACACTGACAGGTGAGAGGAGCACTCTGTGCCACTGCTGCTTTGGCGTAGGGTGCACGGGAGCTGGCACTTGTGCTGTGTGTCCCTGTCCCTCTGAGACCTATGGTGCACGTGCCGCACGTCTTTCTGAGTCCAAATGGCGCTCACGGTGTGCCCCCGCCCCCCATCCCATGACCCAGTGCCCCACCAACCCCCCCGGAACTCATGGCACTCGCCCCTCTACCTGTGGGTGACACACATGTCCTTGTGCCCACAGCTCTAGCAGTGATGTGGAGGACCCTGGGGAGGATGCTGAGCGGCGGACGCGGAGCTGCCGGCCGCAGTATCAGCGCACGGCAGTGCGGTTCCTGGCATACTTCGTGGCACATGCACAGGATGGTGGCCGACACCTGTCCTACTTGCCAGGCCCTGAGTGGCTGCTGGATGTCACACACCTGGTGGCCAGCTGGGCACGCGTGCAGGACCCCCGTGTGGCATCACTGGAAGGTGGCACCGTGCTGGTGGGCCGGGAGCCCGGCGTCACCTCAGTGGAGGTAGGTTTGGGGCAACGCAGGGAGATGCGGTACTGGAGGGGATGCTGACCAGCTGCCTGCAGGTGCGCTCCCCGCTGTCGGACGCCATCCTGGGCGAGCAGATGCTGGTGGTGTCGGAGGAGAAGGTGGCAGTGACAGAACTGCGTGCTGCAGTGGTGGCAGGGCTGGAGCTGGCGCTGCACCTGGAGCCTAGCCACCCTGGCTTGCTCACTGCCGTGTGCCAGGCCATGGCCACGCTGCGGGGCTCCAAGCAGGTGAGGATCTGTGGGTGGCCCAGGGGGAGCTCTGTGCCCCGGTGCCACCCTGGTGCCACTCGGTGTCCTGGCAGGAGGCGACGCTATCTGTCTGGCTGTCCTTCTCTGATGGCACGCTGGCACCAATGGAGCTGTACGGTGGGCAGGATGCCGTGCTGACTGTCACCTCACTGGATCCCACAGTGGTCACTGTGGTGGGGACCTCATCCTGGCATCCGCGAGTGGTGGCAGAGGGGCCGGGCCGAGGGGCCCTGCTGCAGCTCAGTCTGCACCCCCTGGATGTGTGCCGCCGTGGCCGTCACCGTGCCACTGTGTTGGCTGCCGGCACTGCCTTGTTAGAGGTGGCTGGGGAGCGCAGGACCCCCCCCGAGCAGCCCCCGGTCTCCCATACCATTCCCAAGGGCAGAGGGGGCCATGTCGGGTGAGGCGGTGACGGCAGGCCAGGGGGAGCATGGTGATGTGGGGCTGGTCAACACAAAGCTGCAGGGCATGGGGTCTTCCTCCGAGGAGGAGGAGGAGGAAAGAGAGGAAGGCTATGGCCGTGGCATGCAGGAGGAGGAGAAGGAAGAAATGGTGAAGGCCCCTGCACGTGTGAGCGACCTGGAGATCGGCATGTACGTGCTGCTGGGCGTCTTCTGCCTGGCCATCTTCATCTTCCTCGTTAACTGCGTCTTCTTTGTGCTGCGCTACCAGCAGAAGGAGCCACCCGACAGCAGCACCGCTGCTGCGGCTTCCCAGCCCCACAACTGGGTCTGGCTGGGCACTGACCAGGAGGAGCTGAGCCGGCAGCTGGACCGCCGGCAGCCTGAGCCTGACAGCCTGCCGGGCCCCCAGCCTGAGCGCTGCTGCTGTGCAGACCCTCTGGCACCCGACACGGGGTCCCCCAGTGGCATCTCAGTGGAGCCCCGCAAAGAAGGGCCTGTGCCAGGGGGCAGCCGGCGGAAACGCGTGGAGTTCGTCACCTTTGCACCCCAGCGTGCCCCCGAGGATCCCCCCCAGCCCACCCCCAATGTGCAGTCCATCCTGGTGGCTGGTGAGGATGACATCCGCTGGGTGTGCGAGGACATGGGGCTGCGTGACCCTGAGGAGCTGCGCTGCTACATGGAGAGGATCCGTGGCAGCTCCTGACCCCCACCAGGACCGTCCTCTTTGTCCCTGTTCCTCCGTGGAGGGGACGCTGGTGGGACCATCCCTAAGCCCCATTGGGAATCAGTGACATCCTGCTGTCACCTTGCCCTGGGGTTTCCACTGCGGTGCTGGGGGCACGGGGTCCCCTTCCTTGCTGCGGTTCTCATTGCCACATTGTGTTCATAGTGCTGATGCTGAGTTCTGTGCCCCCCCTTGACCGGCCTCGTGTCCGTTTTGTACAACATTTTGTACCCATTGCGCTGTGGGGTGGGGACCCTTATTTATGGAAGATTTTTAAGTCTGATTGTTGTTACAGAAATAAAATATTTAAAACAGAAGAGTGGTGCCTGGTGTGGTGACACAGGACTGGGTCACTTTGCACTGCTGGGGACAAGCACAGGCTGTTTGCTTTGGCACCAGGTGTGGGTGCATGTGGGAATATCCTGGCTATGGCCCAGCTGCTGTGACCTTGGACAGGGAGTGGGCAGCATGGGGATGGGGTTGGGATGGGATGAAATGGGTTTGGGATAGAAAAGAATGGAATGGGATGGGAATGGAATGGGCATGGGATGGGATGGAATGGGATGGGAATGGGATGGGGATGGGATGGGGATGGGATGGGGATGGGATGGAGATTAGGTGGGGATGGGATGGGACAGGATGGAGATTAAATGGGGATGGGGATGGAATGGGCATGGGATGGGATGGGATGGGATGGGATGGGGATAGAATGGGGAAAGGAAATGGGGATGGATGGAGACAGTGATGTGGCTGCTGTGCTGGGCTTCCTCAGTTTCATGAAGGCTCCCAGATCCATTTCCCATCTGGTGGTAGACCACACATCCATGCCCACCTCTTTATCCCTGGATGCCAAAGCGATCGGCTGCGTCCAATCCATCCTGGTTATCCCAGGATCTCCCTGTCCCCACTGCTGGTGGCAGAGTTCGTCCCTGCAGTGGGCGTGGGTTCTCCTAACCCCTCTCATCCCAAATCAGAGTGGGGAGCAGTGTGATCCCGCAGTGCTCTGAGCTTCTCCCACACCACCGATGCATTACAGGGACACCACGGGTGCACGGCATGGTCCCCAAGCTGCCTCCGTTACCCCTCAGCGTACCGCTTCCCACAGGCATGTGATGCTGCAGTGGGACAGGATGGAACCACCCCCACACCGGCACCCCTGGCTTCCTGCATACCGGGGCCGGACGTGCGGCATGCAGCAGCACGGGGCCACATCCCGACACCGAGCAGCACCCGACGCAATGGGCAGGAGGTGAGGATGGAGGTGCTGTGCCTGCTGCTGGCTGCTCTCTGCGCTGCTGCCATGCCCAAACCAGGTATGCCATCATCCCCAGCCCTGGTGGGATGTTGCCGACACGTTGGGTTCGATACACGGTAAGGATGCTCGGCACCAGTGGGGTCTGACCCAGCATGAGGTCTCCCATTCCGTGTCCCCTTGCTGCCACCAGGGAGGTGAAGCTTTGCCGTTGATCCCCAGGATTATCCCACCCCATCCCATCCCACCCTGCTTTTTGCACCAGACCGTTGTTCTGCAAAGAATGCTGCTTCACGTGGAGCACTGCTGAGAGAAAGCAAATGCTTTGCCCATGCTGCGGGCTGTGCAGAGGTGCCTCTGCTTTTCTCCTCCTCCCAAGCTGAGCAGTGAGGCGCTGAGCTCACAGCCCTCTGTTCCCAACAGACCCGGACACCATTTTGCCCCCAGAACATGCATGGTGCCCTAAAATCTCCCCTCAGCACCTATCACCTGGGCACAGGCCTGTCCCAAACCCCACTGCTAAGCCTGAAGTCTTTCCCAGAGCGGTCCCCTGCACCGGGAGGGTCAACGTGTGGCCACATGGGATGAATTTGAGGTTTTGGCTTAACAACAGGCAACCTCTGGTCGCCATTTTGTACCTCTGGTGCCATGCTGGGGACTGGCACCCCACTGTCATCCTACACCTCCCTGCCCTCTCTTTATAGCTCCAGTGGAGGCAACGGGAGTTCCCACCGCTGTGCCGAGCAACACTTCGGCAGAGCCAGGTGAGAATGGGCATCCATCTGTGGGGCAGTGGGTGCAGGGACCCCCCCGCCACCCTCATCCCGAGCTACCTGCAGGTCCCTGGGGCACAGCCATGCTGCGCCTGGCTGGTGGCAGCCACCCCTGTGAGGGCACAGTGCAGGTGCAGCACCGTGGCCACTGGATGCCTGTGTGTCGGGAGTCCTGGAGTGCTGCTGCCTCTCGGGAGCTGTGCCACCACCTGCACTGCGGGGATGCTGAGGGTGATGCGGTGATGGCAAGCCTGGACAGTGACAGAGATTTCTCCAAGGGATGCCCAACTGCGGTGGCCAACTGCAGTGGGTGGGAGCCACAGCTCTGCCAGCTGCAGCTGGCCACTGAGCCCAGCTGCTGTGCAGCAGGGCCGGCAAACGTCACCTGCACAGGTAAGGGCACAGTGGGTGCACGCCGTCCCCGTGGCACAGTGCCGTGTGCCAGCGCCTCTCCATCTCACCCAGGTGCCCCGGTGCTGCGTCTGGCTGGTGGGCACAGCCGCTGCGAGGGCCGGGTGGAGCTGCGGCAGGCAGGCAGCTGGGGCACGGTGTGTGACGACGGCTGGGACATGGCTGACGCCGCCGTGGTGTGCCGGCAGCTGGGCTGCGGCTGGGCGCTGCGTGCGCCGCGAGAGGCCGCCTTCGGCTGGGGGCACGGCCCCGTGCTGCTGGACGAGGTGAACTGCAGCGGGCACGAGGAGCAGCTGGGGGAATGCCCTGCTGCCCTGCAGCACGACTGCAGCCACAAAGAGGACGCCAGCGTGGTGTGCTCGGGTGGGTGACGTGTGCGCTGGGGGGGGGGGGATGCCTGTGGCACTGTGCCCGTGCTGCAGCACCATCCAAAAGCGGTGCCGTGGCACTGTCTGGTCCTTGTGTCATGGAAATGGCTGCCCCCCCCGTGCTGTGGCACCGTCCTGACCCCAGACAGTGCCCTTGCAGAGCACCACGAGTGGCGGCTGTCCGGAGGTAAGGACGGCTGTGCGGGTCGCGTGGAGGTGCATTACCGTGGGACATGGAGCACTGTGTGCGACAGCACCTGGTACATGCTGGAGGCTGCAGTTCTGTGCCACACGCTGGGCTGCGGGGAGCCACTGCTGCGTCCTTCCTTCCACCACACACTGCCCACCAAGATGCTTTATGAGTGCCCGGACTGGCAGCCCTCACTGGCGTACTGCCGCTGGACCTACAACAAGTCAGCTCCCTGCCACGAGTCCCGTGCTGCCGGTGTCGTCTGCAACGGTACGACACCCTTTGGCCCCATGGGGAAAGGTTTGGGCCAGCAGCCCACCTGGGTCCTGAGGCTGCAGCCTCTCCTCTGCCCTCCTGCAGGCTCCCTGGGCTTGCAGACCCCAACGCTGGAGGTGACCGTGATGCCAAGTGGTGGTACATCCCCAAGCAGTAAGTGTGCTTTGGGGGAACCAAGGGGTGAAGAGGTGTGTGTAGGAGAGCGTCATGAATTTTGTCCGTTCTCTGCTGCAGCCACAAAGGGCTTGGGTGCAGCTGGGGGCCTGTCCCTTCTGCACATGCCTCTCTTCATCTCATGTGTGGTGCTGGCAGTGCTGCTCCTGCTTACACTGGTGGTCTTCTCCACTGCCTTGCTGTACTTGAGGAAGAGGAGCGGTGAGGATCCCCCTGGGCATAGGGGCTGCATGGGGCACTGCTCCCAGCCGTACTCTCACTGATGCTCTCCACTCTTGCAGCCCTCACTCTGGGGACTCCAGTGCCACTCCTGGTGACCCACAGCAGCCAGGGTCACGACATGCCCTTGGAAACTTGCAACAACTACAGGGAGGCACCCGCAGACCTCCCCAAGGGGCCAGGTGGGTCTAGCAGATCACTCATTGTGTTAGCACCATCCGCTTTATGAGTCCTCAGCAGCCCCATCAACCCCAGCAGCCCACAATCCCCATCAGTCCTACACGCTCCCTGAGTCCACCAGCCCCTCCAGATCTGCTGGTGACTGCAGCCCCAGCTCTCTCTCTCCCTGCAGACTCCACACCAGCAACCCTTCCCACCACCAAGGGCTCTGACTCCTCTGACTCTGACTATGAACGCTATGATTTCAGCAGCAAGCCACCCGTGGCCCTCTCCACCTTCCACAGTGAGACCCCACCCCCCACCCCGGCACCTCCCCACTATACTGGATTCTCCCATTGACCTGTTCCTCCCACCCCACAGACTCACAGCGCCGACAGCCAGGTGAGCAGCTGCTGACGCCCACCCAGGACGGGATGGAGCCATTTCCCACAGAGGGTGCGCCAGCCCCATCCTCCTGTCCCACAGTTGTCTGTCTGCCTGTCCAGGGATGGGTGAATGGTGGCCCTGTGCTTCCCTAGTGACATGCACCCTGTGTCCCTGCAGTGCCAACCGTGCAGTGTGCCCACCCATGGGGCAGGGTGGGGAGCTCATCCTCATCCTCTTCCTCCTCTTCCTCCTCCCTGGAGCCCTACTGTGGTGAGAGCGCAGCCTCCACAGGTGCCTGGCACTGCCCGCAGCCCCCATCACGCAGCACCCACTCGCACACAGCACCCACCAGTAAGGGGACTGAATCAGCTGTAGGGATGGGGACAGCCTTGGGCATGGTGAGAGCACCCAGTGATGGGGATGGCCCTGGGGATGGGGATGGTGTTGGTGTGACTTCCTGGGAGGGAAAAGCTCTGGGGATGGCAATGGGGTTGGTGAGACCCCCAGGGATGGGGACAGTCCCAGGTGGATGCGGGGACCCAGGGAGTGGCAGGAGGGCTGAGAGGTGCTCATACATCTCCTGCTTTCCACAGCACCGCCAGATGTGCCCTGTGTGCCCATCCCTGTGCTCAACATGCCGTGGGTACCCCCACCTCCAACAGACCCCAACTATGCTGACAGCTCCAGCACCTCCTCGGGGGAGTGGTATGAGAACGTGCAGGGTGCCGAGACATGTGGGGACCCACCCCTAGAGGAACACACACAGGACCCCAGCTTCTCTGAGGGGAGTGACTATGATGACATCCAGGGCTCTGGCTGCTGAGAGTGGGAACAGGCAGCGGGGAGGGGACTCTTATCCATAACACAGCCGTGGACCATTAAAAGCTTTTAGCCCCATCTGCCTGGCGAGCCCTCATCTCTTTCTGGGTGTACCCAAGGGATGCCATTCCCAACACCCTGCCCCATCCCGAGGGTACTCGGGCAGCCGTGCTCATGCTAGCATGGAACCCAGCGGGGTCCCGGGGAAGCTGAGCTATCATCGCCTCCGGGCTCTGAGCCACAGTGGAAAATTTGCCCCCTGTCACATCCTCCAGCTGTTTACTGAGCTGAGCGGCTCTGGCAGCCCAGAACAAAGGGGCCTCACCGCAACAACAGAGGAAGCACTGAAATAGCAACAAAACCCCAGACAAAGGGGAGAGAGAGGAGACGAGAGCAGGGCTGCGAGCGGAGCCTGTGTGGGGCCAAGCTACTCTGTGCGCACGATGCTATCCGCCCAGGTTTAGAGTGCACCAAGTACCACGTCCCCACTACTTGGTGGTGAACTGAGCACCGCTCTGCGTTTCGGTGAGAAATGGGGTGAGCACGTTGGGTCCCACCAACGGACCGCTGCAGCCAGCAGGATCAGCGCTGCCCACCCTGAGCATCTCTTAGAGACCTCTACTTGAGTCACGGAAAATCTTCAGCCCTGAGAAAGTGTTGAGGCAGAAAACTCCCTGGGAGTGGAGATGTGGGGCCAGAGTGAGGCTGTGGGGTGGCGGACCTCTGCAGGTACAGGGCTGTGGTGTTGCCGTGTGGAGAGCTTGGTGGCCCTGTGGAGCCACCATTCATCAGCACTGCCACCAAGTCGATGGTGAGCGGTTTCCTTTGCATGCCTGACCTGGATTTGGGGAAATTAATTAGGGTGCAATCAATCAGTGCCTCCCCAGCACCCATGTGCCTCACAGCGACATGCTGTGTCCCCAGAATGCCTGTAACTGTGAGAAGTGTAGCAGTGCTTCAGGCACGAGACACGTGGTGCTCACCCAGCTATGAGTACCAGCTGCAGCGCTCAGCTCGGCTTCTCCACACTGCCGGCAGCCCCGAGAGGACTCCGAGGAAATGGAAGGTCCCTGTGGCCCCCAGTGCTGGGCACGTTCACTTCTCCTTGGGCTCCCTCCTTCTGTGGGGCTGGGGGCTGATGGGGATCCCTTGATGGGGAGGGAATGAGGATCGGATGGATGGGAAGGAGTGGAGATAGGGATGGGATGGGGTTGGAGATGGGATGGGGAGGCAGTGGGTATAGGATGAATATAGAGATGAGATGTAGACAGGGATGGGATGTGATGAGATTGGAGATGGGATGGGGATGGGAACAGGAATGGGGACAGGAAGGGAACGAGACGGAGATGGAAATGGAAATGAGGATGGAGTGGGGATTGGATGGAGATAGAGAAGGAGATAAGATGTTATGAGGTTGTAGATGGGTTGGGGATGAGCATGGGGTCAAAAATGAGGTACAGTCCCCCTCTTTCTCGCTGGTTCTGCCTCTGGCGAGGCAGCTGCCAGGATGCAACTTCAAATGAGGAAGATGTGACGCAAAAACCACAGAGGGAAGAAAAACAGCCTGCTGCTGCCTGCCTGCCCCCTCCCCCCCCAGTCTCTCCCCCCCGCCTCCCTTCCCCAGGCTGGGTACAGAGGCGTTGCTGCTCCACACACCTCCCGCTCAGCCACCAGCACCAGGGCGGAGGAGGCAGCACGGCTCCATGGCAGCCCAGGCACCCGTCCTGTGCCTTCTGCTCATGGTGGGGATGTGGGGTGAGTACGCGGTGCTTCTCCTGGGGCACACTGCCCATGGTGTGGGGCGCAGGCTGATGCTGTCTCCTTCTCTTGCAGCTGGCTGCAGGCACAGAGGAGCAGCCCTGGGCCCTGGAGGTCAGTGCGCTTTGGGGCTCCGGCTTTGGGGTTGTGGAACCCGTATGGTTCCACGGTGGCATGGGATGCCTGCCCAGTGCCAGGTGGGGGATGCTGACCACCAATGCTCACTGTTACAGAAAAGCCCACCTTGCGGCTCTCTGGTGGTGGCTGCCGCTGTACTGGGCTGCTGGAGGTGCAAATGTGGAGTGGATGGAGCCCTGTGTGTTGGGATGGTGTGAGCCAGGACAGTGTGTGCCAGCAGCTGGACTGTGGCCCTCCTACCAAGCTGAACTTCATGCCTCCCAACCTTGAGGAGCAGCAGGCATGGGCTATGCGGTGCGAGGGGATGGAGAGGTGCCATTGGGTGGCCGCCAACTGCAGCCAGCAAGCTATCATCGCCTGCAGTGGTGAGCATGGCTTTCCTAAGGCCATCTGTGCCCCCACTGCCCCCACCTGCTGCCTCTCTTCTCATTTCAGAGCCAGAGCCCACCAGAACCGAGCCCCCACCTGTGCCTCCCACCACCAGCCCTGAGCCCACCGGTGAGAGCCCCCTGCCCACAGCCACCCTGCGGAAGCTCAGCTGGGTGGCGGGATAGGATTTGCATAGCGAGGATTTTGTTCCCCACCAATGCGAATTTGGGGATGAGGTCCACGCGTGTGATGGCTGCACTGTCTCTGTTCCCTCCCCAGGCGCCCCATGGCTGCGGTTGGTGGATGGCAACTTCAGCTGCTCAGGCTTTGTGGAGCTGCACCTGCGGGGCCGATGGGGGGCCGTGGCACTCAGCCCAGACGTTTGGCCGGAGCTGCCCACCCGCATCTGCCGTGCACTTGGCTGCAACAACCCCAGTGGTATCCCCATTGGTGTCGCTGTGGGTGACACCGTTGACATCCCCATTGGTGGCCCAGTGGGTGGCCCCATGTCTCTGCCATCAGAGAGCCGCCTGCCTGTGAGGTGGGAGGCAGTGGTGCCGTGCACCAGCCCTGAATTACTCGACTGCTTCAGCTGGACCAGCTCTGGGCACAGGAAAGCGTCCACCTTCCTCATCTGTCCAGGTGAGTGTGTGACAGGGACAAAGGATGGGTGGCAGTGGTGCCCCTTGCACTCACATACAAAGACAAAACTGCACACATTTGGTTACTGGAAGATGTACGCAGCATCCTGCTTGTGCCATGGGATTGCCAAGCCCTTGGCCCTCACCTCCATCTGCTCAGGCTTTGAAGCTGTCCTGTGGGGCTCGGGGGGCTTAATGAGATGACATATTGCTGTTGTGGGTCTTCATGGCTGTGCTTGCCATGGGATGGCACTGTCTGTGCCACCGTGCCACCAGTCCTCTCCCTGCAGGTTCCCAGCCACATGCCGGGCGCAGGCTGGCAGGCGGCCCCACGCCATGCGAGGGGCACATCGAGGTGTTCCAGAGGGGCCACTGGCACATGCTATGTGACGAGCAGGTACACCGTGTCGAGCGAGGCCGCCAGCTCTGCAGGGAGCTGCGCTGTGGGGACCTCTCCTTCAGCGTCGAGCTGCGGGACTCCCATGCCACTGGGATCATCTGCAAGGAGCGTTACCTCCACCTCTGTCCCGAGAGCCCCAAGGAAGTCTATGGCTGCTCTCGCACCCATGTGGTCTGTAAGCAGCTGTGCGCCCACCCCTCGCAGTGCCACTCCCTTGGGGGTGCCACCTGCATGGTGACACCATCTTCTCTCAGGCCAGATGTCGAAGCCGCCTCCTGCTGGCACCGCACCTGGCACAGTGGCCAGCATCTGCCTGGCCCTGCTCCTGCTGGGAGTCCTGCTGCTCATCTGTGGTCCCCCTGCCTATAGGAGGCTGATGAAGAGGAGTAGGTGGCCAGACCCCCAACCTGTCCCCAAACCCCTCTCTTTGTGTCAACCACATCCCCCACCTCCCTGGAGTTTTTAGGGTGACACGTGTGCACTCCATGTGCCTTCCCCTGGATCCCACACTGATGCTAGCACTCCATCCTCACTGTCCCTACATCAGTGCTACCATTTCATCCCCATTTTCCCTACGCCGTTGCCACCACCCTGTCCCCACCGTCCCCATGCTGCCTGCAGCACGAGGATTAGGCGCATAAATGAGTGCTCAATATGAGACAGGAGATTACCAGGATTACTGGGCATGGCAGATGGGGCCACAGTGGGCTCCTGGGGGGACACAACCTGACTGCATCCTCTCCCTCCCTCTCTCCATCCCTTCCTCACAGTCTCCAAGAAGAAGCAGCGGCAGTGGATCGGCCCCACGGGACTGCACCAGAGCGGTGAGCAGGGAGCGGGGTTTTGGCATGGGCTGTAAAGAGCTCTTGTTTCTTGCCACCACATTGAATTGTCAGTGCAGTGCTGGCTTGGTGGCACCAAGCACTCTTCCCAAGCCACCCTGCCTTGCAGTCTCCTTCCACCGCAACAGCACTGTCACCCCGAGGGCAAGAGTGGAGGAGCAGAGGGCGCAGGGGAGGGACAATGATTATGCTCAGCCCCCCCCAGAAGAGCCTGTCGGCGTACCCAGGTGAGGACACTGGCAACGTGCACTCCCTTCCCATGGGGAAGGATGAATGTGGGGCTCTGTAACGCGGGCACCATCTGGTGGCACTGGGTAAGGAGCCGTGTGTGGTTCAATCCACAGCCCTGGAAGGCACAGCACGAGCTGCCAGCGCCCTGGACAACTCCTCTGACAGTGACTACGACCTGCACTCTGCCCGCAGGCTGTGAGATGCAGAGGTAGGGCCGCCCCATTGATGGGATCGGTTAATTCAGCTGCACAGAGCCGGAGGAACAGATGGGTGGATGCCCACACATCCCCATCCCCGCGGTGCTGGAGCCCACCCTGCTCACTTGAGGATCTCTCTGCTGGAGCTGAGCCCACTCACATCCTTTGCTGTGCTCATCTCTGACCCCACGATGGCCTCAGGGTGCTGATGCATCTCAGCCTCTGAGCAACCTTTTGCTTTTTCCTGCTCATTCTCTCACTTCTGGGCCTCCTTCCTGCCTTGGAAAGCGCAAGGTGGGGGCTTTCTGAGCTCTGCATGCATCTGAAAGTTTGCACCATGGGGCCAAGGGCTGCCGTGATGCAACCGCGCGCCTTGGGGCTGTAAGCAGAGAAATGAAGTTGGCTGCGCGTGCGCAGGGCAGCACAAGGGCTGTGCAAAAAGCAAAGCGTGGATGGGCAGCGCAGGAAGAACAGAAACATCGAGAAGCAATCCATTGAATTGGTAATAAAATGGTTATTTCTGGTAATGATGCCTTGTTCTTCACCCTCCGCTACCGCGCCGTTCCTCGGATGGCCAACCAAAAGGCACCACCAGCACAAGGGATGGATGAGCAAGAAACGTGCAGAAAGGCAGCAAAGGGCCCCTTGGGGAGAAAGAGCCAGAGAGCAGGAAGGATGCACTAGAAGACAGTGCAGGAGGGTGAAAGGTTGAGCTGACAAAATGGAGAGGAAGTCAGTGTGAGGCTGCCAAGATGGCACGGAAAGATCAATAGAGCTCTGTCATTTCTGAAGGTACCACTGCTGGGACTCCGTGTACGATTCACCATTTTATTACTGTAATTAACCATCATGCGGGACTGCTTCCATCGACCCCTAAAGCATTCCTCTTGCTCTAGTCCATTAGTAATCTCCCCTTATAAATAACTTACAGACATAGAAGCGGTATTGGTAGGAAAAAGTGCTGAGCAATGCAAACGCCATTTCTGCTAGCAGCCCTGGCTCCCCATCACCTCGTGTTTCCGGAGAAGGGGAATCCCAAATCCATCCCTGGGCACCACAGGAGCAGCTGAGTGTGCAACACCAACTCCTCCGTGCAACCTGGGCACACCCCCCAGGGCAGCGTGAACCCCTCTTAGTGTAAAAGCACCCACATTCTGTGCTTGGAGCCTTCATGCCCTCAGTCAGAGCCTGTGTGGGATGCGGAGGCTCCTGGGCAGTGTGGAGATGGGTTTTGTCACCTGAAAGGGGCAGCACTGGGATGTGCTTCTGCTTTAGGGCGTGCTGGCAGCATCTCTGAGCTGCAACACACCTGCGAGCCCAGCTATTCCCACCTCCTATCTCAGGAGGGCCCCTTGCAGACAGCAAACATTTTGTGGCTGAAATACTGTGATTCCCACTGTACCTTTGGGATATCTATGAAGAAGCTGGGAATTCCTACACTACATGTGTTATAAACGACAGGCAGACCCAGAGGTTTGCTTGCTTGCACACAGAGCGGTCAGGCTCCCAGCAGGCCTTATCAGTGCACAGCCCACGTATAACACACAGCTGGCTGCCTGGGTGCTATAGCAGAGCCTGGATGAACCTGCTGGGAAGCAGCCACTTCAGCCCGCTGGCAGCCACTTCGCAATGATCCCAAAGACGTGTGGCTGCTACTGCATCCTATGCGACACTCTGGCGTGCAGGGGCTGAAGAGCCACGCTCTGGGCTCGCTCCTCTTCCTCAGTCCACAAAGAGGAGGGAGCAGCAGAGGACACCGTCTGGTTTAGTTGCCAGGCCAAGCAGGGCGCGGGGGGTTCCCGGGTGGGGGCTGGTACCCACAGGGTGGCCCTGGTGGATAGGGAGGCTGAGGGGGGATTGGAAAACTGGGGAGGGGAGGCTGCGTGGGGTAGGGACACTGTGGCCGCCCAGCCCCAGGGGGTGCGTAGGGTGGGTAGGCAGGTCTGGGTGGTGGAGTGGAGGGAAAGGAGGGGACATGCGGTGGGCCCCTGGATGGAGACCAGGAGTAGGCTGGTGCAAACGAGGCGCCTGGGGGAGGCTTGGGGAAGCCTGGTGCGGAGTCAGCAGCCTGCAAGGGTGGGTACGTGGCACCCGGAGGAGGCTGGTAGGGAAGGGCAGGCTGGGCGCTGGGCTGAGAGGCAGCAACGTGTCCTGTCGTGAGTGGGGAACCTGCAAAAGGAGCAGGTGGGAGAGCGCCGTGCGCTGTGGGGCCAGGCGGCATGGCTGGGGCCGGGCTGTAGGGCAGAGGAAAGGAAGGAGCCCCTGATGGGACGGGCAGTAGCTGCGGTGGGTCCACGGGTGCACAAGGATGCTGCTGCTGCTGTGCGTCCCTGACAGGCTCCTGTGGTGCTCGTGACTTCCGCAGCACCTCCTGCAGCTTTTCCACCCTGACCCGGCGCAAGTGGGACAACTTCCTCATCACCAAGAACTGCTCAAGGAAGGTCTCCAGGACCACCTCACCCTCCAGGAACTTCTCAGCCATTTTCTGGAAGAGAAGACAGTACAACATCCCTCAGTGCTGCCTCCCCAGATCCACTTTGGGATTGACATCTCCCTCAGGACCGCACCACACAGAAGCAAAGAAAGAATAATCCAACCTTTTTTGGAGCGACAATGTCAAGCTACAGAAAGATAATCCTTGATTTAAGGGATTAGGTTTGGGAGAGTAACTGCAAATCTCTTAGAACTAATCACTTGAACTGCTAATTGTTTCAAACCTTAAGCTCACCTCAGACTCCTCTTCAATTTTTTGGCTTTCCACCTGCAGGAGATCCAGCAACATTTGAGGATGCATTGCGGCTGAAAATTTCTCTGGGGAAAAGAGCAGAGAAATAAACACAGAATGGGGCAAAAACGTTAGTACACTGACCTGTCTAACAGAGCTTGTCACCTATTCCACAGCTTTGCACTGAGACACAAGGAAAACCTAAAGCAGAAGGAGTTCACTGTCCTCATTTCTGTGCCCCACGTGCCTTTCCGACAGTGTCTTCCCACCTTGGAAAATGTTGGTGTAAGGAAAAAGTCTAAATAGGAAACAGTCTTAACCACTGCCATACCTGATTGGTACCTAAACGCAGCTTATAAACAGAGGAGAAAGATCTTTTACACAGGCAGAGAGTGACAGAATGAAGGGAGAAGGGTTTAAAACTAATAAAGAGGAAATCTGGCTGAGGATGAGATTCCTCACTCAGGGTACAGTGAGGCCCTGGCATAGCTTCTTGACGAAGCTGTGTGTCCCATCCCTGGAGATGCCCAAAGCCAGGCTGGATGGGGCCCTGGGCAGCCCAATCTGGTGGGTGACAACCAGCCCACAGCAGTAGTTAGGGCTGGGGGGCTTTGAGGTCACTTCCAACTCAACCACTGTGTGGTTCTGCAATTATACAAAAGGAAATGAGACTGAAGCCACTCACCCAGCTTTGCCTTCTGCTCCTTACAGCGTTCAGTGAGGTTTTGCAGCTCCTCATACTTGCTGGAGAGCTCAGAACGTCCTGTCTCCAGAGGAACCTGGAACTTCAGGTTCTGCTCAGCAAGGCTGCGATTGGCAGCGAGCGCCATCTCCCTCTCCAGCTGCAGCTCCTGCACCTGAGGAGCAGAGCCCACGGTCAGCACAGTGCCACGCAGCCAGCCCTCACCTGCCTGCCTCACTGCTTACCTCCCTGGACTCCAGGGCCAAGCGCTCGATCTCTGCAGCATCCTCCTGCAGAGCCTGGAGCTCCTCCACAGTACGGTTCTTCAGGGTGTCCATGCTCAGACAGCCACGGCCTCCTAGAACAGGGAAAGGAATTCAAAAAGGCAGTAAGGCTGGAAAACATCACTAAGATCATCCAGCCCAGCCCACGCCCACTGGGCCACGTCCCCCAGTGCCACATCTCCGTGGTTCCTGAGCACACCCAGGGACGGTGACTCCACTACGCCCCCCGGGCAGCCTGTGCCTCACCACTCTTTCCGAAAAGAAATCTTTCCTCACACTCAGCCTGAACCTCCCCGAAGTCAAACCCAGCCCCCCGCGATCAGGCAGCGATCCGATTAAGGATACAGAAACAGCTTCAGTTCTTACTCACAGAGACCCGGAAGGCCGCTCGCTTGCACTAGGCGCTCCTGTCAAAGTTCGCCTCCCTTCGGCCCGCTTCTCCCCAGCACCGTCCCCGCTCAGGACCCAGCGCGGAGCCCCTCCACCAACGCGACGATGCCCACGACAGCACCGAAAGGCCGCAAACACCGGCGGGCGTAAAGCCCAGCCGCGCTCCGCCCGGCTTCGGGCCGCCGGACTGCGCCGCCACTGACTTCCGGCGCCTCACCGGAAGTGAGCGCCGCCGCTGCGCGCTGAGGGATGTGGCGCCCCCTGGCGGCGAGGGGTGCGTGACGCCGCCGCCATCTTGTGGCCTGGACTCGGTGTGGGCTGGGTTTGTGGCTGTAGCTGAAGCGGGGCCTGGCTTCTCGAGCCACACTGCAGGGCTTCCATGCAGGGAGCTCCTTTGTGTTGTGTAAAGCATCTCACGCTGAGTAGCAGCTGCTTCTCACAGAGTTGCAACGGCTGCTGGCTCAGGTGGATCAGAGTGCTGCTCTTGCTGCTCTGCTGGCGAGCCCTGCAAGAAATGCAAGAAGAGCAAGTCCTTGTGAATAGCCTGCCTTGCATAAAGCAACCAATGTGAGCAGCAAGGCAAACACACCTGCCATCCACTTGTGGTCTGCAGAATGCTGCCACGTTTCATGGAACCATAGGACCACAGAACAGTTGGTTTGGAACGGACCTGTAAGATCACAGAACCACAGAATGGTTGGGTTGGGAGGGGCCTCAAAGCCTCCCCAGCCCCAATCCCTTGTGGGCTGGTTGCCACCTGATCAGGCTGCCCAGAGCCCCATCCAGCCTGGCTTTGAACAAGCACCTCCAGGGATGGGGAATCCACGGCTCCCTTCCGTCAGGGCCTCATCACTTTCTGAGTACAGAATTTCCTCCTCATAACTGATCTGAATGCCTCATCTTTTAGCTTAAAGCTCTGTGCAGACAGTCATGAGGAAGCGTGGAACACAAAGGGGACCACAGCAAGGTCATGGCAATATTTCAGAGGTGCTGCCATCAAAACACACGGCTCCAGAAAGGCACCTCTGGTTTCCGTGTGCCACGTGAGGCCCTGTTGGCTTCTGTATGACAAACATGAGTCATACAGATCTGGTTCAGTACCCAGTGGTCCAGTCGGTGCATAACAGGGATGATAACCTCAGCAGAACCCAATGTTATTGCAGGAAAGGGACATGAAATTCCGAAGGGAGATTGATATTTTCAAGGAGGATCGATAGTGTGAGGAACAGTCTCCAGGGACATGAAAGGGCTGGAGCACATCCAGCTCACCATTTGTCAAACTGTAAGGACTGAGTACGGTATAAGCAGTATTGTATGTGAATGATACCATTGAGGGGAGACTTGATGAGTGGATCTGATGTTGTTCACAGCTAATTGGGCACCAAAGTGGGAGGTGGCAGTACGAAGCTGGAGCAAAGCAACACAAAATCAGTGCAGGGTTAAAAA